CTTTTGCCCACCCGGCCGCCCCTAACCCCCCCAGCCACAACTGTGCTATGACAAACACCAGCAGGAACCAGGCACCACAGCAAGTCAAAGACGAGGAGAGGTTGACAACTGCTCTCTACCTAACACTACTGTGTCCTCTTTCAACCAGGATTCCTTTGTGAGGAAGATTTTTCTTCTACCTTTTTAAAGGGGTTATTGAAAGAAACAGGCTCTTTCACGAGGTGTATTCATGGAACTGAAAAGACACCTCTGCTACTTGACTGCAGTGTCGTCGAATACTTGTCTCTCCACTGCTTTTGAAGCAGTTTCTATTCTCTTGAGGTTCGGGCCTCGGAAGAACATCATTGTGTGACGCACAATAGAACGTGTACTTGTTTTCTTTGTGGGACTGTGCAGGTTTTGTTACATTGGTATGTATGTAGCACTGAACTTTTCTTCAATGATGGTGTTGTTAAGCGGGGATGGAGCTTTCTTAAAGTACTTACATTCTTTAAGCGAGTAAAATCGAACAGTATTCGAGCTCGAGTCTCCTTTTGATCCCCAACTGTTTCGGGGAAAGGGAAAAAAAACAACTGTTGCTCATCTAGACAGAACAAAAGGGAAAAAAGAGAAATTGTTGCTATTGATAAATCAAACTTCTCCGCCTCGATTCATTCCTTTACTTACTCTTGCATTGAAACCTCAAAGTTGCCATGACACAAACTGGAACCAAAGGTACTGAGCCAGCGTGGTTCACTTTCTCCTGTGTTGTTGTGAGAGAAAAAGCCGCAAATCATCTTCTTTCGGCTTTTGTCGGAAAAAGCAGACCTGCGCTCATTAAATTCATATCTAACCTTCCTCTCACTCATGAAGGAGGTGTGTGACGAAGCCTCCTTGTTACACACATAGGTATGAAATCCTCAGGTCCCAAACGAGCCTTAAACGTGTGCTTATTTTTCTGTGATGTTGTATTTAATTTAACTTTTCTCTAAATTGTGGTTTTGTTTGACTTCCTGTATACCTGTTCTGTTACGGACTTGTCTTCGGGCTCCAAATCAAGATAGCTTTCTCTGTTGTCTCTCACTGGATGTGGACTTTGCACATGTGACAGTAATCGCAGACTTTTAAGAAACAGAGCTTACTTCAATGTGAGGAAGACACTTTCCAGTCATCTGGTGTTTGGCATGAGGTTGGTCACAGTTTACGTACCTGCTTTGCATCGTCTGGATGTCGGAACGGATCAAACTGCTTTTAATAAATATGCCACTTTCTGCATTCCTCTGTTTGATGTTAGGAGTCAACGCAAGTGTTTGCAATTTACGGGAAAGCGTCATCTCATCATCAGGTTGTTCCCTTCACACGGGTGCCGATAAACCATGTGAGCAGATGATGTGCAGAAAGGTCATACATACAGAAGGTATTCAAGTTCAGTTAGTTTAGCAAAGAACTACTCCCTCGATGACTGTACGCCGCAGATTTATTGCAGTACAATCGACAGTGTGCAACACTGTGGGCACCTCCTGTTTCAAGTCATTATTCCACTATGGATCCTCCTGATCAATATCCTGAAAGTGGATATTTACACAGTAAGTGCAATCGGTACCATCTGGTCAATACCTGCAGCTGATGAATATGTGCTTCTTATGACTTGTTTGGCCTCTTCACACTGATCTTTGCTCCCAGTGTCTTCAAAGGGAAGAATCTATCAATATGTTCCATATACATCAGTGGAGGCTCCGTCCCAGCCCATAAATTGTTAAAAGTATCATTTGTGAGAAACTGAAAACAGATAAGGCAGGAAATCCATGACATATTTGAATTTCACCCAGGAGGGTTTGTTTGCCGTAACTTTATATTCATAGAAATTCTTTTTCCAAGTGTGTAATAAAAATCAACAATATACTGTGGGACGGGCAAACTGGCACATGACTCATACATTCATACTATTTATGCCCTAGTAATAACTGGAATATAGAAATACGTTTATATGTGGTATAAACTGTCCTACATCCATTGATACATGCCCAGGTATTTGCATGTAGCATTTTAAGGACCCTACTAGTTTTTAATTAATTGAGGATCTCAAGGGACTCCAGCTTTGTTGCTATATATAGCCGGGTGAGGGACTCGCAAATTTTAACGGGTGTGCAACGCGGGAGAAGTGGAGACTAAATGCCATGGCTACTTAAATATTGTTTAAATTTTCGCACACGGTTTAAACTAAGTCTCAAGTTAAGTTCAAACTTTAGTGGAGACAAAACATTAGTGCTCTAACTATACATAAATGTAACTGAATACAGACCCTTTTTTAATGAAACTTATATATACAGTGCTTTATTGGTAGAGTTCACACGACTTGTTTAAACATGAGGTGTACAATGAAGTATTCCTATCACTAGTTCTAAGCAAGTAGTGAACATCTGGTAGTTCCAGGATATTCGCCAAACGCGAAGAGAAAGTGAGAATCACACATGGTGAGTAATTGAAAGATCAGAACAGAATCCACAGCCTTTCCCATGCAGCAGGTACTGCATCACGTGTCTGAAAATGTTAGCAGTTCTAGACAGAACTGCTACGCAGCAACCTTTTAACGCAGAAATATGAAAAACTGTTGCAAATAATAATCAGTTTTACCCCGTGTTAAAGCCTAATTCAGGTGAATTTTAGTGTGTTGTATGTTTTGTTCCACGTTTGTAGTCACTTCCTGTTTGTTGGCTATTAAATAATATCTGGACCAACAGAATTTCTTAAAAGAGAAAGAGTAGATAAAAAAGAATGACAGCTGCAGGAAATCTGATCACAGCGAGAAAAGGTGGAGCTCAGGTATTGATTATATAATGAAACCATTTTGTCATAAAATGTAATCTTCACAGCGCCCTCTTTAGGAGAGCAAGACTACAATGCGCTCCGTTTTTCAGGTTTAGTCAAACAATTCTACAGATATACAGTATATTGGTTGCAAAGTTCCCATGGCAACTGTACACGTAAAGAGGAGGACAGATGTGTTATGATGATCCCTTTTACCGTCTTTTTTCCTGTTTATTAATTGTAAGGATTACGCAGTTACAATGTACAGCAAAGACACAGCACCAAGCAATGAAGAGCAGCGAGGGAGGGAGGGAGAGGGGGTGAAGCCGGAGGAAAAGATGGGATTCATTCACAAGAATGGGGAAGGATTAGGGTTCAGTCAGAGGTCACCCATTCTCTTATCTGTACCAAGCTACAGTCGAGCATCTGCCGTCATCCCCAGTGTTTTGATTACGTCATGTCCGTTTTTGTTGTGGCACCCTTTGACGTTAAACATGACCCAGCGATGACTTGGATAGTTTTACTTTAATGGAAGATCTTCACAAGAATCCGCTTCTCGTCGCCTGATGTTGGTGAGCATCTTGTCTTACTACTGTATAGAAATGGTGCCCCCTAGTGTAAATAAAATTCTAGTTCACATTTTCACTGTCCACCAAACGTACAGTACAAGGTTTGCACAACTGCTTTTTTTTAGCACCTTCCAAGTTCACACCTACATCCAAACATTTACATCACTTTAAAGGATGTGCAACACAACAGCAGTTACACTGTAAAAGTGAAACCTAAGTGTAAAGTTGAGTGCCTGAAAGCCAAAGGTAAAAGAAAAATCTTCATCTTTAACCTGAATAGACAATTTGGAAATTACTTTTTTCTTCTTTTTTTTTCATTTGAATTTGCTGCTGGATGTATAAAACGCATTCAAATGAAATTAGTCATTTAAAAAGACACAAAAGCCAAAGGAAAACTCAGCTCAGTTGTGTGTTTGACTTTCTGGCACTTGAGTAATTAAAAGTAACTTGTTCATATATTATATTTCATTTTTTTAAAAAGAAGAAAAAACAGAGTTTATACACTTGGACTGCTACCTTCATTGGCACACTAGATGTCTAAGGCGTTTCTTTAACATTAATGCATCAAAACACATTTAAAAAAGGAAAATAAATATAAAGAAATCATGTCCCTACACTGGTTGTTTTTTCTAACACTGCACTCATTAATTCTGTTTCACAATACTGCAGAATTGCATCCATAAGTGAAAATGAAAGTCAAATGTTATAAAATTGTAAACAACAAACATGACTGGCAATGATGGAAAAGACAGTTGAAATGGCTGTAACAAAGAAAACACTGTGACCAGTACGAAAAACAAAACAAAAAAAAACTGCATTGAGTTTGAGATTTCCCACTTAATTTGATGGATATCAATTTTCTGTTGAAGCTAATTTGACTTCACTCATTTTTTTTTCTCCATCCGACAAAACTTTAAATTTTGTCTTTTTTTTTTTTTACATATCCACTGACACAGTTACCATGCAAACATAAGCTGCAGTTTTTATTTTACTGATACCAACCCCAGTTCCAGAAAAATCAGTAGACCTTTAAAAAATTGTTATGTAGTTTATCTATACCTGGAAAACAGAAAAGACAAAATAAAAGTACAGTAGTTCCCGGTAAACACACACCAAGTTAGCTAGGACACAGGCAAACTAGCTACTGGGACACATTGCATTTTATTTATATTTTGTCTTAGTTTTTTGGAACTGAGGATACTCATTATTGTAATTTTTTCTAACTGTTTTTCATTAATGTTAAACAAACTTAAACTTCACACTCTCCACACTCTTTGGTCACAGTTGTTTTTCTCTATGTAATGTGTCAGATATTTTTACTAGGAGGTCAGTTCTGCATCTGGACTGCAGGCAGACCAAGCTTTTTTAAAACAATTGTCAGTTTACCCAATATCATTAGTAACAATACACATTATTCCTCCTGTCTTTTTTTTTCTTAAATTAGTTTTTAGTCAATTACCAAACTACATATTAATATATAAGAATTATATAAGAAATTAACCAACTTTCTTTGGAAACCTGTAAAGTATGTTTGACTAACTTTTTAATCCATTGTCATCAGTCAGTGTGCTGAAGCTCACCTCTTCATTACTGTGGCTTCAACTAATACTCAAAGTCTTCTTCTTGTTCCTAAACCTTGCTTTGCCAGAACTGATGCTGTACTGTACTAAACTGTACTGTATGTACGGTGAGGAATACACTGACAAAATGGAAGAACACACAGCAGATGTATTTTCAGCACACAGCAAAATGATGCCAATGTTTGTTTGTTTTTCTGTTTGTTTGTCTTTTTAGTTCTTGGTGAATTCATTTGTGTGATATGACTTTGTAGTTGCAGAATTTAACAAGCTGCAAGATGGCTGCCTCTGTAAGACTAGGCCCTTGCATATAATCCCCAAACATTCACACACACGCTTATACACAAAGGCAATCAACATGTTACAATTTTTTGCCAATAAACTCTACTAACTTGAGCGTATAACACAGCAGGCTCTTCTCTGGTCGTGGTTACACTCTCCTAATTGTCTACAGCAGGGGTGCCCAAACTGTTCCACAAAGGGCCGCTGTGGCTGCAGGTTTTTGTTCCAACCAAGCAGTAGCACACCTGAGTTGAGAGGTTTAATCAACTGGTCTCAGTCTTCAGACAGCTAATTGGTCAAACTATGTGCTCTTGGTTGGTTGGAATAAAAACCTGCAGCCACACGGCCCTTTGAGGAATAGTTTGGGCATGCCTGGTCTACAGGATATGTTCTGTACATGACTTGGTCATGGGTGATGTCACACTGTGTATGAATATATAGATGCCACTTAAATTATCGTTAACACTTAGACCCCTTTAGCTTTTTAAACTACTGATCAAGTGGCTTAAATATCCTGATCGTTGTCCTGAGATCTTTGAATGGAATTTTGTTAATATGCTTTGACCACTTGCACACTGTCCACCAATTGAAGACTTTGCCGGATTTTGATCGAACAGGAAAATGTTGTCAAGAGTCAGATGAATAAAAATCTTAGAGGAAGGTTTGGAAGAATTCCTGGTCCAGCACTGTATTTGTGAACATGTACAAAATCGTTCCTTTTCAGCACCAGTCTCTCAGCACGGACAGTGGGTGGAGATTTCTCATTGGGCACTGACACTCTATGTCCAAAGGGTGGCACTGTCAGCTCAGCAAATCAGGACTGTTGGAGAGAAGAGGAGACGGTCAACAGGTAACATCCTCAGTCTGTGATGAGGCAGAGTGAGGAAATCTGGGGCAGCATTTTTTTTTCTTTTTGAGTCAAAATGGAAGCTTCACCTCTGCTGCACGGTGTCGATCCTCAATGGACGATTCTGTTTCCCTGACAACAACCGCCTTGGTCACCTGCATGTCTGGATGCTGCTGCCTGGCTTCCTGTATTGCAATAGCCAGAGCCTGGAAGCCAATTCAAAATGGTGTAGTAAAAATAGACTTCTAGTCATTCATCTATGTTTCAAATAAATTTTTAAATAAATTTTTTTCTGAGTTATCAAAAGACTCCAAAATGAGCAACCTTTTTGGTGACAAACTATAATTATTTCCTGTGAAGAAAGCTGTGAGCTGTGATGACGTTATTAGTTATTTGGAAGATAAAAACACATGATTACAAATAAATCCAGATTTATATACAATTGACTGGAAAAGAACTACATGGCTGTAAAGTGCGCTATACTAAATAAGATTAAGCACCATTTTGCACCGTTAACAGAGCGATGATTATGTGCAGATGATTGTTTTTAAACCTTATTTTACCCTCAACTTGCTATTTGTCCACTTCAGCTCACCTGTTCTTGGTCGACGTCATCGTCTCCTGTGATTATGATTCTCTTCTCGATCCTAGTCTCTGAGTATCCTCCTTTCACTGTCTGCAACACACACATTTCATGAAGTTTAACTTATTTGCAGGTAAATTAATTTCAAGTAACTAAGTTGCTGTCGTCAAAAGGTGTGTAAAGTATAGCTTATTTTTACGTATTATTTTATTCCTCTTCGAAAACAACAACCCCGACATTTGCCCATCACTAGCTACATCCTTGCAGTCCGTAACTCAACAGTCAGGTGAGTTGAGGGCGAGTTTTGATTGGAACACAAATGCCCCGGATCCATTTTTTGCCAACCAATTACCATCGACTAATTTTGTTTCAATGAATTGATTGGACAAGTGCGTGTCCTCGCGTCATAAAATTGATAATGTCCGAAAATGGCGACCCTGGCTCTGCTACTGTGAATCCACGGTATATTCACCTGTTTGTTTACATGAAAACCCATTATAAGATGGTCGACGATAAAAGAGGGGGGGAAAAAGACATGCAGCAAGCATGCAGAAGTAAAGTTAGCGTCCTGAGCTTCACTGCAGGTAAGCAATTCTTGTATTTGTTTGTTTTTGTTTAATCTCTGTTACATTTAAACTTATTCATGGAGATGTTTAAAAAGTCACTTCAGTAGCTGTATTCACTTAAAATGTACCTTTTAGATAAATAAGCTTTTTTTTTCCAGGAACCACTTCATCAAATATTTTTTACGTTTATTGGGCTGCGTTTCGTTTAATTGCGGGTTTTTGTTTTCTTTTTAAACCGTCTCTGCAGTCACCATGAATGGAGCCCTTTGCTCAATAGCTAAGGACAGAGAACTATCAAAGATTCGACACAGGTAAGAAACGTAGTTGTTGTTCATGTCAGTTTATACGTGCAAATGTTTTTGTAAAGTTAGATTCTAAATTTTATTTATTTTTGGATGACTACACGCTGTCATCTACTTTTTTGTAGAAGTAATATCAGAAATAATATTATGTCGATAAAGGAAAAACTTGACCTGTTGTCAGAAATGGTGAGTCATATTCTTTAGAATATGTTGTAATAAATATATAGTTTTGTTGCACATTTCAAAAGTCTGAATGTAATTTTTAGTATTTATTTACTTCCAGTACACCAGGTCCTACAATATTGGACGAAACCAAAACTAAATTAATCTGTTTTTTGTTTTGTTTTTTACAGATCACTTTATCATTTCTACCTTGGTGCAAATAGATTAATTTACAAATTGCTGCTTTGCTATCATGAAGTTACACGCAGTGAGTCCTTTATGGAGGCAAGCTGAGGATGCATAGCTTCATGTACAGGTAATCCTCTTATGATCTCTTTCAGTTGTTCATGAACAATACCTGGCAGAAGTTGAGAAGTGTGTTTTAGCGATGAAAATGGTTAAAAAAATGTTTCTGGAACCCTGAAGAGGCCTTTGCCTCTGTTTTAGTGGAGAAAAAGCAGACAACTAACTTGAACAAGGAGATCACAGATGTTTCAGTTGCCCTTTTGGTAATGCTTAAGTCGTATTATAGCAATTGTATTTATTTTTCTTACCCAAATTTTTTTCTTAAAGGCTTCGATTACACCATCAACCAAGACTCTTGCTTTATTTCTGTGGTTTGCTAATTGTTACTCTTGGCTTCATTTATTTGTTAAAACTGTCTATGATTTGGCATTAAATGAGATACGGTGAAAGAACTGTATAGCAATATGTGTTGAAACACTACTGATGTTTAGCCACAATCCTGGGACATTTCTGGGTCAACAGCTGTAATCCTAAAGGATTTATATGTATCAAATGTCATTAGGTAAGTACATTACTAGTCCATTAAAAGCTGAGAACACATCAGAAGAGTAACACGAGTGATGTTTAAGTGTAGACGAAATAAGAGGCCCCTTAGTTGTGAATTACACCACAGTGGGACAAAGAACTTCTTATCTCATCTGGACAACAAATCTTCTTTTAACACAGCATTTTATATCAAATACTACCTTTTAGGTCACTCTTTACCTTAGTGACATGAGTAGTTGCTGAGGTAACATTTTCTGTGACAAGAATGGGTGATCCTGATGATTCCCGTCCATAACTTCCTGTGTGCACCTTTAAAAGCAAAACCACACACAAACATAGACATCAGTGGTTAAAAAATACAAGTGTTTGCTCCATCTCATAAGTCAAAGTTGTGAACCCTGACATAGAGGTTGATATGAATAGATTACTGTACAGTTTATTTATGGCTGTCAAAAGTTGAAGGTCAAATCATTTGAGAAATAAACTTTAAGGTATATGAACGCGTGGGTAGACTGACAAGCACTGTATATCCAATAACGATCCATAGCTACCCTGTGATAAACGTGATTAAACATTTAGATCATTTAGAAGCCCTCACTTTGTCGTCATTGGAAAGACACAGCAGTAAAGTGCAGTATTATAAGGTAGCTGCTGTGGGTTAGGTTCAATGGAATGGTTTATTCTATTTGTACTCACAGGGGATACACTCTGTCTTGTAGAGTAGCACATCTCACTCATACCAGCAATACTGTGATCCTGAAACAGAGAAATTAATTTACTCTTTAAATAACTCGATCTGACCTATGACAGAATACAGAGTATGAAAACCTATACAGTATTGTTCAGTATTGTTATTTACCTGATCTGTAAACTCCACAATGGTTGTGGTGACCTCTGAACCATTCGGCTGAGTTTCTGTTCTGACATCCGTCTTTCTTACTGCTGGCGTGGGCATGATGTCACTGGCCTCCCGGCTTAAGGGTGTAACAGCAGGTGCACGAACGGTTTCTCTTTGTGAGTGCTCTCTGTCGATCGAGGATGGCACTGGCACTGATCTCTTTGGTTTTTTAGGAACTATGGGCTATAAAGGCCAAAAGAGGAAGTAAATAAAAAAGAAACAAAGCTGTTTTAGCCATACCTCCAATGAAGAATTCTAATCAGCCTTTCCCATAATCAAATTAAATTTATAGAACAATAATGATATCTCAGTTTTTACCCTGGGTTTTTTTTCTCGGTTTCTTAGTGTGAAGTTTGGAGTTGGATTGACTTAAACATTTTTTAAGTTCTGTACATCCAATCACATTATAAGTAGGCGGTGGCGATGTCAAATCTATTTTTTTTCTCTTACACAACCAAGCATGTCTTAAATATGTTGTTCCTATAAATTGTATTACATGTATACATTATATAGTATTTTTTTTTTTGCATTTATGCTCTTATATTCTTGTATTAATTACATAAAGAGCCTGCATAGCTGATAAAAATAAAAGGAACAGAAGCAGATTAAAGATAACTTTTAAAACATTTGCTCTACCTGAACATCAGGTCTTTTGACCTCAGGTTTGAATTCTTCAGTCTGGAAATGTTTTGCTGCAGTGTTGCTGCTAGCTCCTCTAGACACGGGAGCTGGCGGAGCCACAAACTGAGGAGGAGGATCAGAGAAGCTCTGCTGCTGAAATGAGTCAATGCCCAGGTACAGACCTCGGTCGGGCGACAGATCCCTTTCCCCCAGCTCTGACATGCCCCTTGAGAACTCCTCCATGCCTGTGTGCAGGTCCGTAAGGACGGTGAAGTCAACTTCAGCCTCCAGGCTCGATGTAGAGCTCACTGTGATGCTGGAACATTTGCGCTCAATGCCCAGATGAGTTTCTTTAAGGTATGAGATGTCGTGGTCCTGGTCATCCTCTGAAACCGAGCCCAGACGTCTCTCCCACTGGTCCCTCTAAGAAAGAAGGATGATGATGCATGTTAAGAGAAAAGAAATCTTGTCACACTAGCATGATTTCTTTACTGCAACGTTGTGTAAATATGTGGGAGTGACTGGCAAGAGCAGCAGATGTAAACATGTTTTTCTATTGGTCAAAACTTGTGGGTCCTGTAACTGGATGCCAGTTTGGTCCAGTCTTTCAGCAAGAATATCTTTTGTTAATGCATTTTTTACATTAAGTGTTGCCTTTGTAAATGTTCTGTCTGCTATCAAGCTATTTACTTGAATTCTAAACAAGTGCTAATACAAATCTTACTGTATATACAAGAAAATGTTATCTTTTGATGTGCAGTGTATACAATAATTATTAAATTAGTTAATGTTTAACTTATTTAATTGCACTAAAACCAAAATAATTTTATCTCTTAGCATGATGATGAATTAAAGTACATATTTTAGTTACTCATTCTATTTTTAGAAATTGTATTCTTTGACAAGAGCCTGCAAAAGTAGATTGAAGACTTACTGAAGCTTCGCATAGAGGTTCTTCATGAATAGAAGGTGTGGGAGGCGTTTCCTGGAGAAGAGAAACAGACAAAAAAACAACAAATAGTTCAATAACAAATAGAGAACATTTTAATATTTAAGAAATACAATTCCAAAATCATTATCTAATGGTGAGTTCTGCATGCATGGAATTCAGTCCTGTAAATCACAATAAAAAAGGGAGGGATTAGAAAGATCTGACATCATTTTGTTTTACATTTTAAGAAATTCCTTGACTGTAGAAGTTACATCAAAAGCATGCACATAATGTATATTTTTGGGGCTGGGAGTTAAATGGCTACAGTAATACCATGCACTAAAAGGTTCTACTTTTCAAAACACTCTTCATGAAGAAGGTATTCATATTCAAAAATGTGGAAGATGAATGCCTAAGACCTGAAGAGGTTTGCCAGGTCTACAGCCTGTTATCACTTTGAATAGCCTTTTCTTTCTCTGCTCTTTTCAAAGACATACTAAGGCAGAACACTTGGTTCAAAGTGACATGATCTCAGCCATTTATAAAGAAGCAATTCATATTCTAAATGAGACAAAATGGTGGGAAGGTCTTGCACTCCTTGCAACAGCAGCCACCTTGACACTGTGAGAATGCTGGAAGGAGAGACAACTTTGTGATTGTGAGAAGTTAGGGTGGAAAGAAACGCCTGAAGCTTAAGCAATAGAAACTTTGCTTAAAGACCCACAGGGTTCTGAAATGGCCAAGCAGGTGTCAAGCTTTGCGAGGGCAGAACGCAAAGAGTGGAAAGCAAAGAGCTCCTTGGACCATGGGGGTGGGTGGTCAGCCAATGATGAGTCGGTCAATGATGCGATGTGAGAGAACGTGGGCTTTTGCTTTCTCATGAGTTCGGAAGAATGAGTGTGGAGTTTTTCAATTTGATTTTTGGATGGTTGGAAAAAATGTTTGCATTTCATCGGCTGAAGCTCATGCAATGTTGTGCTGTCCAATGGTTGACAAAGAAGTTAGGGGGCAGATGGTTTACCACTTGCTTCCTCTTGGTTGTTTCCTGGCTGGGCGTCCTGGTGTTGATTTGACCATTGTCGATGTTGTTTGGCATGTCTCTTGTCGACCACTGTGTTCTCAGAGGAAGAGTTCGAGGAGGTGCTGTTGGATATTTGGAGTTTGCCAAGAGATTCTCTTTCAACTCCAGGTTGTTTGGTACATTATGCTCATTATTCTTCTGCTGCTGATATGAAATTCCACATGCACTGTGGTATTTTGTGAGTAATATATTTTCCTTAATACCATCTGTGGTTGCAGAAAGATGAGGAAGTTCATTTTGTATTTCTTCTGCCTCGCAGCAGCCATCTTTTGATTTTGCAAGCAGCACATCCTCAGAAGTGCCAAAGAGACCTCTGTCAAACTGGCTTTGGGTTGGAGGAATTGCAGCACTTTTGTTCTCTCTATTCAAAGACTTCTTTGATCGCTGGGGCTTGAGAGGGACTACTTTTGTGTTTTCCGTGTGCAAGTTTAAAGTTTTGTTGCAATCTCTCCCTGCCGTAGGGCTTGGGTCTTTCATTTTCCAACTCTCGCAGTACATTGCATCTCTCCCACTTCTGTCCTCTTGGTCCTTTGTAAAATGATCCACAGCAATCAAGTTTTCGAAGTTCTTTGGTCTTTCTCTATGAACGTTGTGCTCATACTGACAGTGCCTGAGGTCTGAGTGGTTCATCGCATTCCTCCCTCTGCTCTGTAGAGATCCATAACCATTTTCTTGGAAGACGTTTCGTCCTAACATGGGGTCATGATGCCTGGAAGTTTCATATGTGTTGTCCGTGAAGTTCAAATCAGTAATGTCTGTTTTCATTCCAGGTCTATTTTTCAAAGAGTCTGTATTTGCTTCAGTCCGGGATACACATGTGCTTCTAACCAAATAAGAAGTCTTACTCTTTTCTTTAGAGTAAGCATCCAGTACTGCTTCATGAAAATCCTGTTCCTCAATCAATTTGTCATCACCAGTTGCCTATGTTGACATAGAGTGAACATTTGTGTTAGCCCTGCTAGATACACTGCTTCATCTTTTGAGACACCAATTTTTTTTTTTTTTTTTTTTGTCAAATTTAAGGTTTGGCTTAAGAGACAATCAAATAAATGTATTCTTACTGTTCTACGTTCAGGAGTTCCTCCTGGAGGAGTGGCAGAGGAGATGCGTTTCTCCCTCTGGGCCATCTTACTGTTGGTCTGCTTCAAGCATATATACCTGCTTCAGCTTTTGGAACCCCAATTTTTTTTTTTTGTTTTTGTCAAATTTAAGGTTTGGCTTAAGAGACAATCAAATAAATGTATTCTTACTGTTCTACGTTCAGGAGTTCCTCCTGGAGGAGTGGCAGAGGAGATGCGTTTCTCCCTCTGGGCCATCTTACTGTTGGTCTGCTTCAAAGCTCTCTTCAGCTCATTGATGCTGGCCTGGTGCTTTTGAAGCACATCTTCTGGCTTGTCCAAAAACTGCTGCTCACATAGTGACACATGAGACTTAGTTAAAATTCTGGATTCATGGATAGTCATTAAAATATTTTAAACTGAACATAACTGATAAACATGGTATGACTTGTTGTCATCATTTCAAGCTATTTTTATTTTGACTAGCTAAAAGAAAGTCAACATAAAAAATCTATCAATATAAGCAGAACTCCATTTTATATAACAGCTGTACATGTCTATCAGCCCCTTTGACTTTTTCTTTAATGCTACAGGTATTGGGACCAACTGAAATCCCAGTACTTTGCACAGAAAATTATTATTCTTTACCACCAATGATTATTTTTCCAGTGACAGACAGGAAATGGTGGTAAGTTATGGCTAAAACCGTTTCCTAAGTGGACTACACTATGAAAATATGATTATGTTCTTTGACATATCCATCCTGACAGTAATAAGTCCTGCATTAAAAAGATCCTTAATGCTTTGACAATTATGGGACTAAATGTGGTCTCCATCACTTGCACATGTGTAAGTGTGTAATAAAGAACAGTGTGATCGTTTTAAGACAGATTGTTTGGCAAGATAAGATAAGATCACTTTTGGCTTGTCCCTTTATCAGGGATGCCACAGTGAACATAGTGAATTTGCAGGGTTTTCACATCAGATGCAGGTCCTTATGCAACCTGAGATTTTGGGACTTAGCAGTATAAAACCCAGAGCTTGCAATGGCAGGTTGGGGTCCTACAGATACAGATACCACTCTAACTTTTTGGTAAGAAAATATAATTGGTTTTATAACCATGATAGAATTCCGTCAGCGATTAAAGTAGTTGATGAAATAACTGTGAGAACCAATGACAGCACACAAAGTGAGCATAACACAGATATTACATGCTGTAAAAAACAGGACGAGCAGTACCTCCTGTTTGGGCCGAAGGATGGCCACATCCTTGTCCAAAAGATGAGGAAGCCCACAGTGGGCAGATGAGATGAAGTGAGAGGTTTTTTTGAGTGAAGCAAGGTTGAAGTGTTTTTGGGGGGGTCGGAGAGGGGACAAATGCGTGCAGAGACAAAGTGCTACATGTGAGTTAAAAGGCAGGCAGTTGGACTAACAGACAGAAAGACAGATAAGCAGAAACAGTTGATACATGAGCCTTTTAAACTAAGACTGTTGAGCCATCAAATGATCAGCCAAGAAAGACGGTGTAAATCCATTAAAGTGGCAGCCAGTTGATAATGAATGCAGTCATGTATTGACTGAAGTGCTTGACGGAATAATCCCATACTACTTCATCCAAAGACATTCACAAAACCACATATAAACACGTCTTCAAGTTCATAATGCAAAGTTGTTTTGACAACTTCCAGCAAATTCCTCCCAGCGTTCTTTTATTGAAATTACTGTTAAACAAACACTAAAAGATATAGTGTCACCAGCCAGATAAATAAATTAATCACGGGCATGTTTTAGAACATTGTGTCTTGGCACGTTTCCTTCACAGCCGGACATGGCTGCATTTCAGTGAACAGTGGGTCACCAGCCTGCAGCACAGTCATTGGATGATTGGATAAAGCTGTTAGTGAGTTTAAGGAAAACTGAACCAGTCAAATATTACTTTTGCGGTTAAGTCCTGTTTCCTTTACTTTAGCGATGATATATTTTGCTGGGTGATTGACTTAGTCAGCTGTCTGTCCAATGGATAGGCAATAACATGTTTCTTTTGTCTTATTAAAGGATTAAATATTTTCATATATTCTTCTTCTCCCTTTACTGATATTTTGGAATTATACCTATGGGGTCTCATGTGTTATGTCCACAGCCAGATTATGTGGTGATCAACTGAGAAAGTTTTTTGCCATTTTACTAGCTTGCTTGATGTGGTTTGCTTCTATACAAATCCAGTGATGTAGCTGAATAAGCCTGCTCCAGAGCTTAAGTTAATATTTAAAAAGACATTTTCTACTTTGGATGAACTGCCAAAAATCAATTTTTAAGAATGGAGAACATCTAGTTCCAGGACTAAACTACTTCTCTCCCACAAGGAGGATAAAAGAAAAACAAACAAACAACGTTTTGATGTAAATTGAACGTTTCGTCCGTGTATCAGTTCATGCAGTTTCCATGGTTTCCACTAAGAGGCCCCATGAAAATCATGTGAAGAAAAATACCACTCTTCCAGAGACAATCAATCACAACAATGACAGCTCATGCTGAATACACACAGTACAGGAGCAAGACTAGCTACAGCTGAAACCACACAGTCAGACACTCGGGTCCAAGGCCAAAATACCTCTGGCTTTGAGTCAACAAGTGTGCCTGCCTCTTCACTCTGCGGGGAGAAGATGAGGTTTAGGGTATGTACGTCAGTCAATGACAGCAGAGGTTAGCATAGAGGGTTAACATCAGTGAGGGGAGTTCGAGCACTGAGGAAAGATAACAAAAATCTGCAGCCCGAGGTTAACAGTAGAGTATGGTAGTTAAATTAGAAAAATGTAAGTGAATGGGGTGATGTTTAGTTTCATGTGTTAGTACAATTTCTCTTGCAAAGCTGTGGCTCCACAGTTAAACTTGTCCAAATAACAAGATGCAAATTATTACGTGTCCTCTGGGTCATGTTATTCCCAAAAGAAAGAATTAGTTTACAGGATTTGCATGAGTTTTTCAAAAGTATTCCCTGTGCATGTAAGGAGCTTTAGCAGTGTTGCTTGTCCGGTGAAAAACTCTGGGTAATTAGTCTCTGTGGTTGAATACTTGTTAATGTTAAATTAAAAATGCAGGTCAACTGCTGCGTGACCTGCTTTGTTTCATCTCCTCTCTATCTGTTTGCACATTAAATGCCGAACCATGGCATCATTTAGAGTTTCTTTTAAGTTCTTTTAATCAGTCAGTAAAAAAAACTTGGATAAAAGGTGAAACTTAACCCAATGCTTTTGCTTTTATAATGTTCTACTGACACAATGATATGACCTCATCATGTACCTTGAGCTCTAGAGTCCTTGTCGGTGTTGTAAAGCTGCTGATCTCTCTTTGATTGTGATCATGATCTTCATGCTGATCAAACTCCTGATCTGTGTACTGATCATGTTCTTGATCCTGATAGTGATACTGGTCATGTTCCAGATCCAGACTGCCCTCTTGGTCCAGGTCTTCTCTCGACATGAATTGCGTCCGTTCACTCGAGCTTCGCTGGGAAAGCTGATCTATGCTGTCACCTAGAGCTGAGGCTGAGAAAGAAACAAGGTAGATAAATACGTTAAAACCTGGAATTTAGAAGCGTAGTTTTGATCTAGCAGCAAATATTACATTAGGGTTGAACACAATCAAGGCACTGACCGCCATCAATGCTCCGAGGAAGCATGTACCGCTTGCTAACGGACCGCTCAAACTGTGGGGCAGGCCTGTCAATGAGAGCACTAGCCTGTCTTGTTTGGGCCTGGGTTCTACCACTGTAGCGAAATTTGGAGCCAATGACCAGAAAGCCTTTGGGAGGCGGCTCTGGAGAAACCAACCTGCAAAAACATTCAGAATTGTCTTTAAATTATAGAAGACATATGTTCTTTTATTTGCACGTGAGAGCATTGTTCTTGTTTTTGCATATCAAGTAACCTTTCAGAATGTAACTTGTATAACCATTTTCCTCTGGCACTGTCCTTAACTTTCTTGTTGCTGGTATTATTCCTAACTGTATGGTTTTAATAAATAAAAGAAATACAACTTTCTACATGACCTAGTCCCAGAATCCCAGCTTAGGTTGCATCAGGAAGGGCATGTAATGTAAAAATCACTAAAATTACAACTTAATCTGTGATGCATAAATATGATGAGTTTGTCTGCGCGAAGCACACCCTACCTGAAAAAGGTATGGTGCTCGATGCAAACTTTCCACAACCGCTTCGAGGCGCGATGATTGGGCAGCTTGAAGCCAATGGTGCTTTCAAACTGTTCATGCTGAGCAGTGCAAACAAATGGTATTGGAGGGGGGCATAGGAGTGGGTGAAGAGAAAGAGAAGACATAGTGGCAGTGTAAAATGTTTTCTCCACATCATTTGAAAAATCCATATTGTTTTTCTATTTAGATGTACAAATATATTTTGACACATGGTCTGTCATGGGGAATTTTCTGTCTACAAATTAGCTGTGTGTGCACTCACTACATCAGGTGTTTAGCGGCGTGAACAAAGTACAACATTCTAAATCAATAGGTTATTAGCGATCAAAGAGGTTTTTCAGTATAAGGAGAGCAGCCCACCTAAGATTCACGCCGACACCTCCTGCAAAACCTGCTGACCCAAGTGAACTGGTTAAAACAAATACCATGTCCTGTCAGCTTTATATTTCAAAACTACCCACTAGGTCTACAACTGTGTCTGGAAAAAAGTTGTAATTATTCATAATATGCATAACCACCAATCTAATAAATAGGTTTTATTAAACCATGAAATGACTTTTTTTCCTGCTTGGGATAAATCAAGTGAGACAATGATGTAATTTCAGCAACTGTGAAACCATGAAATAGAATTCTGAGTATGCTTGTGTTAAATGTTTATCAGCCAAATTATCCTCAGCATTGTTTCTGTAGAGAAAATGAGACAATGTTCACCTCTCCAGGACGGATTTTAATGTAGAAGTTACTTCTTTTATAGGAGATTTTGAGGATTTTTGGCCAGGCAAACCGGTTGATCCTTAGTCGGTCTCTGTAGATGAGGAGACCATTGGCACTGACTCCAAGCATTATGTCAATTCCTTCTGAATCCTGGTAAAGAGAGATAAAAGTCATTTAAATGCCCATGTGGATTTAAATAAATAGGAAAACCATGTTCCCTGTACCTTAGCATGATGCAGATCCACTCCATACATTGAAAGCTTTTTGGCATTTTCTAGAAAGTTGACCTCTGCCTCTGCAGGACTCATCCCCCTATGATATAAATATCAGACAGGATTTGTTACCTCATAATCACCATACAGACGAAAAATACATCTTTCATAGTCTTTATGCATTATAATGAATTAATAAACTGAACCGGTGACCTGTAATTATGGTGAAGCTCTATAACTCTCTCCTCAAGCTCCCGTGTCTGGTTGGGAGCAAATCGGAAGTCACTAACATAGTCTGGGCCATGTTCTTCAGGCTCATAGTCTCCCAGTTCAGCCTGAACAGTGTACGACCCCAGAAGGGCGTGTGTGACAAAAGAGCAGGGTAAACGTCCAGACAGGATGTCATCCCTTAGCTGCAGACACAGGTAGTACCTGAAGAATCACAGAGTATGACAGACCAGAGTCCGAAGGCGATTAGGGGTATATTTACTGAATGGCAGTATTGCAGATTTTAAAACCAGATATTAATCAAATCTGTGCCACAGAAATGTCATGGTTCCAACAGTAGTTTAATCACGTACCTGGTTATGTCTTCAATGAGCACAGAGGGATCTGGGGGGTAAAACTTGACAGAAAATCCAAAACTCCAGGAACCAACTGTGGATAAACCAATTACACTTCATTGATATTGACTGTGGGTGTGTGTGACTGTGTGTGCACATTCACTCACCCCTGATTTGCTTCTTAATCTCTTTGGAAGGATCCAGCCAATGCTGACAATAAAAGAAAAAAAAAGAACCAAGGGACCTTTGAGAAATTGTACTCTGACAAATCCATCACTTTTCACTCTTTAGTAGCAGCGTCTATTAACATCCAGCACCTGATGTATTCACGCCTCAACAAGGTGGACAAAAGCTTTTATAACTTTCAAAAGCATCAATAGTGAGTCTATAAATGCCAGCTGAATCAAACTCCCTCCACTTAATATCACCAGAGCTTCAGGCCCTGGTGGAGCAGTATTGAAAGGACATTTCATTTTATCACTTTGGAAAAGGTTAAAGGCCGTGTTTGGCACAGAGCTGTTCAACACAGTTTAAAGGGCAACTAGGGAACAACTGCTTTCCAACACCTGGAGTTATGACTGTTTGGCTGCTGATAGGCACTTGTTGTGAAGTAATTGACCAATGTTGTGTTTATGTGCGTCTGACCTTGGTGCCGTCCGTGTCGTGGAAATTCAGGCCAAAGTAGTCCCTCTCCAGCAGGTTCAGATGGCCACACACCATGTCCAACAGAGTCTGGCCCTTGGCAAATTTCTGTATCGACACACAAACAGATACACACTGACTCACACCGGCCTTTTTAGAACACACAAGCTTGTGTGCAGGTGACAAATTTACATTTCGGTGTACTATAACAACATTAATTCAAAGATGGGCAATAGAAGAAATAAAGGTTGAATAAAACATGATTAGTAAAAGATTTCACATAACATACTGTCTTCACTGGTTTGTCAGGCTGTCTATAACAATGGGGAGTTCACCTACATCTATCAACACTTTCTGCAGCAGAAACACAAAAGAGAAAGGACATCAGTCATCCTCTCTCTTACTAGGTAGGAGCTACAAGTCTGTCTAAATATATGTCAGAGGAGAAAAATATGTTGTGCCACGCCCATTTCCTGTCTAACCCTTCAGGGCTTGAAGACAAGGCATCTGTGGGCTGCACAGGCAGCTTTGGCAAAGCGCAGCTTCCACACACATGCGCACGCACGCACGCCCACACACCACACACACACATAGGCACACACACACATAGAGGCACACACACACATAGAGGCACACCCATGCCAGCTTCATCTCCCAGGGTAACCTGGCTCCTATGGTGACAAAGCAATGAAGCAAATGTTACCATAGAAACAGAAGTAATGGGTCCCTGCTCCCCCTGTCAGTGTGTGTGTGTGTGTGTGTGCGTGTGTGTGTGTGTGCACGTCATCTCCCTTTCTCTATCTCTGGTTATATCAGGACACCACTCTGCTTTGTTTAGCTCCTGAAATAAAAGCTAGCTTAGCAGACAGACTTCTGTTTAAACATTTAACCAATGATAATTAATAAGCCATTATACAACCATTTGTCTTTCAATCACATCCACAGTCATTTATAGCCCACTGCCAGAGGCAAAACAGAGCAGGATGCTCATTAGCAGTCGGAGGAATCAGTGCATGTGCAACTTCTGCAGACACCTTGTGTGATTCCCAAAGCATGGAAACAAAAGTCACAATAAGCTGATGTGATTGTGATGTTTCTGCAATCACTCTGGGCACATTTCTGTAAATACTTAGGTGATTTGGTGTTATTCTAGAAACCCATTTTGCTGGTGGCCCCACCCATGCAAAAAATGGGGCGAGACAATGTGTGAATAGGTTAATTAGAGAGGCGGAGGCTGCTCCTTTCCTGAGGGCGCACAATAGAGAATAATAAAACATGGATTTGAGAGGAGAGACCAATTATGAAATGACTGAGATTCTGAAATTGAAAACTCAAAAATGTAAATCGCCTTTTGTTGATAAATGGTCATTAAGTCATTTCAATTCCAGGCTTTAAAGAATTCACTCGCCATTTTTCTGCCTATCAGATAGAAAGCGTTTTTTAACCACTGGGGTTGACATTCTGGAATAAAAAGTCGTTACGTTTAACAATGCAGGTCATCCGTGCCCCAATCCACTTTTAGGATGTTAGTCCCAGCTGTGACAGTGTGAAAGGTGGTCGTAAAAGTCATGTGAAAAACACAGCTGTGCATCTTGAAGTCAGCCTGTGTAATTATCAGGGTTAAGTTGAAAACTCAGGATCATGAATCTGTTGCTGACAGGAGGTGTCTTAAGTCACCTCCCACATGTTCAGTGATGATTTCTCTGGTTTTTGACTCCTATCCATCTTCACTTCTCTATGACCTGTATATTCTTATGGTATGAACTACATTACTTTGTTTTGCTGCAGTGGAATTTTCTTCCAAATGTAACCAAACTGAGTTAATTCAGAAAACAGCACAGTACTCGCTTGGTTTGTTTTTCCTACGAGTCCAGTTGTCTGTCAACAGTCTGTATCACCTCTCCACAAATGTTTTGAGTATTCCTTCTAGAATTGGCAAAAATGTAAGGATGCAATGATACATCTGCAGCAATGTAATATATAATAAGCAATCTGAGCATTTTAACATCAATGGAAAAGACAGAAATAATATGTATTTGATGTAAGATTTTTTGTTACAATATGAGCAATATAACAAAACAACTGAAGACTCGCCGTAACGCTACATACGCTAATATAATTTCATACATAAATACTTGTTTCCTTTTGGATTAAAATATTCTTCTGTTAATGAGAAGAAAATAAATCTGTAACAAGTTTCCTGCTTGGTGTCCTTGGTTAGCTCACACAAACACACACTGTACATCACCCTATGTCAACCAGAGCTGTGCCACATACAGTATCAGCAGAAGTTAATCTAAACAGGTACACAAAGGAAAACACCCATTCTTGTATCAGTTCATAAATACTAACACAAGTTGTTGAGGGTGCAGTATATTATCTGTTGGTCCCCTATTTAAAAAAGAGCTTTTATGTCATGGCTTTGAAAGCTTTAGGGTTCTAACAGAATGGCTTTTGGTCAAAGACTGGAGCATGTAGATGCACTGAGCCCAGTCAATATCTATAGTGTTAGGAGCCAAACATCAATAGGAGGCTGAGGCTGAGGCTGCCTCCACCTCCCTCCCTGTGTTTTTATGGACAGTGCCTGCTGATGTCCACTGGACATCATGAGTGTCATTAAAGTAATGATCTTACTGCAATTACTATGATAAGCTCTTTTACTGCAGAAACATTTATAAACTCTACTAAGAACTCCGGCATAGAATCAATCTGCCTTATCACTCTCCTGATCACAGTATATCTTTTTTCTGCATCTTTTCCCCTCTTTCTTTCCTCCTCCCATTCTATTTTCTCCACAGTCATACATCGGAGCACTCATCCATCAACTGCATGGATTTCCTGTCAAAGTCCACTACCACGAGCATCGTTGCCCAGGCGACACCAAGACATGTGAGCGAGTGTACAGCCCAGAAGGGGCGAGAGATCGAGGGGTGCGTTGAAGGAGAATGCGTGTGTTGTGTTTGACTCTCAACATAATTCACCTCTTACTTCTTCATGTACAGTAGGCTGGCTATATGTTGGCTATATGTTGATGATTTAAAATTACTTTAGAGAATGTGATATTCCCTATCAGTTCCAGTGATGAGAAAGTCTCAGGCGTTAACATGCTCCATGGCCCTTACGTTGAAGCACTGCATCTCTTGGTGTAAATCACCCTGAGGACACTGCCTTTTCTCCTTCAGAAGTCTTTTCAAATCCAGAGCGAATTCATTTTTGCAGCTCCCAGGTCTGATAAGAAAGGAGGCTGCTGTAAAATTAAGGATAAGCTGAGGACGGTAGGATATCACACACCTGTTTACCAACACAAAGGCTACAAAGTCACAGTTCATGAAAGGTTGAAAATGCTAATCTGTTTCTCCTTCCCCCTACAATGCAGCGTTTGTCTCACCTCCCTCTATCTGTCACTGCTCCCCCTCTTAGTGAGTACAGCAGCAGCGCTGCATTTCCTGACTCAGGAGCATGCATTACCCAGGGAAACTAAAATCACACCGAGGTGCTGACTCCAGAGCTTTATTCAAATGGCAGAGTTTTACACCAGCTGTTTAAAATGCTGTTTGTTATACCTACAAAACCTTATTTGAAATGAAGGCAGATGCTTATTTTCTACAGTAAAATAAATACAAGTAAAATATATATTTTGCTAGAAAAATTGACCAATAAATCTCTCTCAGAGAATACACATTTATTAATCTGTAAATATCCTTATGTTGCTGCTTGTGTTTTCGCTGCAGTGAATCCAAACAACCAGGAACAAACACAAACCTTTAAAAGCTGCATATTATTTACTTCAAAATATGTCAACACCTTTTACTGAGGCTTCAGGTACGCCATAGAATTGCTGATTAAGCAATAGTGCCATGCTTTACTTCCAGCTGTGAATAATGTCTACTGACTTGATAGTTTGTTTTCTTACTATACATAGTGTACTATTGTTGTTGTGTTGTAATTGCTGCTGTTTAATGGGCGGGGGTTGTGCAGGGTAGTTGTAGTTCGATACCAAGAAAAAACAATTGTGTGATCGGTCCATAATCCCTTTAATTTTTGCTGAGGTAAATCGGCCGTCTTCTCTTTCTTTAGCTCCAAATGAACTGTTTCTTGGATGGATGGATTTTTAGCTGCCAAAGTTTGGCATCCAGTTAATAGAAGCAGACTAATAGACTCAAAGGGTCAGCATATTGATGGAAGTCAGTGACCATTTTTTGTGAGTTGTTAAGAGATAATTATCAAGGGATGCGTGGGGGAGGGGGGGGTGGCTCATGATTTTGCTGCAGGACCTTGCAAGGATGGAATGAATATATGCTATGCTACTGATCCCATTTGGGGAACCACAGTCATCCTTGGATTTCAAAGCTAGAGCCAGGGTGTGCACTGGACAGGTGACCAGTCCTTTGGGACCAACAATGTGACATCAGTCATTTGAGGTCATGGTATATAATGTGAATCTCAGGTTTTACACTGACCTTTGCCTAATCTACATGTCATTGGACGGGCATGTAAAATCTGAAGTAAGAGAGGAAAGCCCATGCAAAAAAATAAAAAAAATGTTTTGTTAAAAAGATGCATGAGAACAGCTGCAGCAAATCTCCATATGAGGGTTAGGGTCATTTGATGAAGAATGAGAGACATAAACTAAACAGACAAGGATAGTATAATTCATCAGTTTTACAGTTTTCAGTTCCAATTTGATATCAACAAAAATACTAAAAACCAAGGTTTTATTTGCCGAAATAAACATTGCACAAATACAAACATAACTGTTTGTAGCTCACGTGCCGATTTGCACAACCACAGTCAATGATCTTTGTTTGCTGATACAAAAGAGACCGGTGCACGGTACCTCAACTGCAGTGTCATAGTCTGAGCCGTCGAGGAGGATGACTTTGACAGGAACAGTCTTAGGTCGCTTAGAACTTTTCTGGGGGGATTTAGAGGCTTTGCTGGGAGTCTTCTCTGAGCTGTCGTCCAAATCACCAAGGTCCTCAGGAAACTAGAAAAAAGGAAAGTCCTTCTCTGAGTGAACTTCAAATCACTGTACGCTTTTCTTCATTTGACTAGACGTGTGATTTAAATTCAGTGTTTCTGATCATGTAAGGCATTCATTTCATCAAATGAAGGCTGCAGAGGGAAACTGCTGCTCAAAGATGCTAAGGATGCTGGGCTGTTGGCAGGGGCAGAGGCAACTGCATGCCTTGCATATCAAACAGAAAATCAGTTTGATTGAGAGCGCTGAGTGAATTGATTTACAGCATGTTTGAGGTTTCCAAACACTCTCACCTGATTGGTCCTCTTGGCGTCTCCCTCCATCGCGCTCCTCATTTCCAGAGCCAAAGCCTTCTCTGTTGTCATAGAAATAGATTGTGGTTCTGAAAAAAACACAAACATATTCATCACAATTAAACCTGTGAAGTGTTTACTGCTATGAAGAGCTAGAAGTGCCAATAACGCTGGAGGAATCGCTTAGTGAGATTTCTCCCCATCTGTACGCAGCATCTTTACTGAACCGTGGTGTAATGACTGGTAGCCCAGTGCGATGATAGTATCTTTAGCTATCCCTGCCCACTTTGCATACTGAGTCTCTTTGGCATGAATCGTAGCTGAGCATATGAGGACGGTGAAAGCAATGAAGGGAGCAGCAGCGTCAGTAGCTCAGTCAGTGCAGGTTCACTGCCTCCCACAGGAGCACTCTGCATGAAGAGCATTGGCTTCAGGTCGATGGCACCTTACGCTACTAAAAGCGATTGCAAATTACATCAGCCTGCCCTGCAGCTATGCATAAAGACACAAGACACTGTGAGAGACAGAGAGAATCAAAGGGGTGATAACAAAGACGAGGATATCGGGAATGTGACAACAATCTGTGGAAAAAAACAGAAGGAAGGGGAGGAGACCAAAGACATCAGAGAAAATCCAAGGAACGGTGAGAGAGAGGACGCAAGAGAGACAGAAAGAGAGAGAGAGAGATTTGCAGATATGATATTAAGGTGAGCTGGAGATAAATGAGTCTTGCCAAGTGACTACTTCTATGGCCGGCCTGGTTCCTGCACCTTGTCTCACAGTATAATAGTTTAAATCCAGATGCTAGATCCTGGACATCATTTTATAATTACGTATACTATGAGGAAGGAAGAGGTTGTGGGTTAAAATTCTCACATGGAGCAAAAGTGGCTGATTGATCACCCTAATCTGATTTAAGTAATATTGATAAGTGGTACAATGAGATGAAAGAAGTGGTAAAAAAAAAAAAAAAAAGTAGTTCGCTGAATAAATCCCTGGTATATACACCAAGTGTAGTACTTCGAAAAACATGTAGGTTGAGCATAGTTGGAAATGTTGATGTGAATGGTTATTTGTCTCTATGTTTCGCCCTTTGATGGACTGCTGCGATTGGTTCCACCCCCCTAGCAACCCCGAAAGGGACTGGATGGTAAAGGATGACTGAATCATAACTACTGGTTAGGAAGAGGGAACCTTGTATTTCCAAGAAAAATGAGGCACACTCGGTTTCAAAGGCTGAGTCTTCTCTCTCAACTATCATGGAAGAGTATACTCTCAGTATGAGGACGTCTGATCAAAGAGGAGGGCAGACCGTCTCCAGAAGCACTGCAGCTGTTAGAGATGTTCTTTAATTAGTCTATTCTATTATTCTATTGAATAAGTAGCCATCATTTACCAAAGACTTGGTGACTAACAGATCACAGCAGAGCTTGAAGCAATGAGGAGCAAATGCTAAACATGCAGGAAAATGAGAGAATTATTGAATTAATTTTAATTCATTAATTAATTTAATTAATGAATTAAAATGCTCGACATGCAGTACAATGGGATAAGAGCCAAATGTGAGCAACCTCATTTTTATGATGAGTTCTCAGAGCAACTATATGAGAAAAAATCACAAGGTTTATGTGATCATCAAAATATTTTAAAATACTATTAAAGAATAGAATATTTCAGTTCACTTCTTCTGCACTGCACCCCTTTTTAGGACTGTTTTTGACCCCCTCTCCTTCACAGCTGTTTTTCAAAACTCTACTGAGCTTTATTTTAAATTCTGCCGTTCCTACAAAACTGTGATTCCTGTTGAACAAAGGAAACAAAAATACATATCCAAGGAAAACAAAGGACTCATTTTCATTGCTGCAGCAGCAAATAATGGTGGGCCACTCCCCAAATTTGGAACCATTGGATTAATTAAAGTGTTGATGAATTTAATATATCTCCTGATGGTTTTTGTGATAAATTTCCAATAACCGAGTCCTGGACAAGAGCCCTTTTGTAAATGGGCTTCTTTCATTGCCACGGCTTCACATCAGTCATCGCCTTAAATGAAAAAAAATATATAAATAAAAAAACCTGCCACAGTAACTGTACGTCTTAGAATAGAATCTTTTGTCTTTGGAAGTAGATGAGTCCACAAATAAATCTGTGAAATTTAAAAGGCTCTAAAAATATTGGCACTTGGAAAAGGTGTCTGCTCTTTACTTACATAACTGAGGTATTTATTTTTAATGTTCTTTAAGGTTTCAAACAATATTTATCCTAGGCAGTCTGAAAATAGTGTGACAATCTCATTAATGTTTTAACCCTGTAACAACAAGTGCCTTCCTGCATTCCTCATTTGTTAGGTAGTTGTTTGAACAGAAAAAGAATTCCAGAAAAGTACTCCTCTTCCATTTTGACTTATCATATAATCTCTACAGAGCCGTGAACCTTGAGTGTTATAAGTAGTAAGTAGTATGCAGCTAGTCTTACAAAATCTCCAGATTGTCTTTTATAGGTATACATATTGTTTTTGTTTGCTAATTTTGTATTTTAACCTTTATTTATCCAGATTGATGTCATTAAGACACAAACTCTTGTATCCAATGGAGAACTGGCCACGACAGCAGTGATACCATCAAGACCTCCAGGCCAACATGTCCAAAAATGACACATGCTAAAAGTATAACCTTGTACTTTTGACTCTTGTACAAATATGATGTCGTTATCTGAAAAAATAATTTTTCGAACCAAAATTGTCAACATCTGTTAGCAGTGACAAATGACAAGCAGAGCTTCCACTTTCTATGTATTCTTACGTAATTACAGTATAAATATTGTAACGTGTCAATCAGCCAGTCTCATATTTCTATAGAAATTCTTATGTGGCCTCAAATCTTTGGCAAATAGAGCTTAAATATGCGTACGTAGAGCAAGACTGACATCAAATTATTTTGTTAAGTATTCTTTCATTTCCTGACTGCACTTCAATTCTGGACAGTTTATTTGCCTTCTCAGACATGTACTTTCTATCTCAAGACTACGCAATTTAAAGGCAAGGGTTAGTGACAAAGAAAAAACTTTACACTTTCCTGTTAGAAAAGCAAAAAAAATCTCTCTTAAAGTTACAGCCTGAAAAACATTTATCACTCGTGACACAAAACATGTGCCAACGGAGCAAATACCAGCCAAATACCATACCAAATTCTGTAATTTATTGGGGATTGACAAAAGCTGTGATTCATTTACATCTCAGAGAACAATTTTCACAACAACAAAGGAGTGTATAGATTACCCAGGACTAAACTTAAAGGTAATGCATCTGTAAAGCAGTGTTCCACATATAGCATGGCACCAGGGACAGAACTGTAGCTTTTTAAACCCATTACTTCATCTGATATCGATCTGTCTGGCTGGGTGGAGGGCAAAAATAATAAATCAAACATAAACAGTATCTTTGTCGACATCAGATCTTTAGAGCTTCAGGTGCATTACTTTCGTCGGTTCACTTGTACAACAAAACACCGCGGGCATGTGATAAAATAACGAATTTATATCATTCAGCCATATAATATTTGGTTTTCACACACATATAGCATGTGTTAACACTGCTCACAACATGTTTTCGAAACATCAGTGTATTCGTGCCACATTTAGAAGAAAATATAGATAAAGCATGACGGGAGTCATATGTTTGCCATGTCATTGTAGTTGGAGCCCACCCTTGGGTTCCTGCAGTTTATCATCTAATTCCTACTACGACGGCTCCATGTCACAAATTGCACAAGTCATTGGATGGAGTGAGTTCACATACACAGAACGAGTATTGTAATGATTGTGTTAAGTGGAAATCATCTACTGTACTGTACTTCAGACTGCAGTATTGCTGTGTTATTAGCTGTACGGAGTGATATTTTATGTGGGTTTTTTTTACCCATTCCGTGACTCACTCTTAGACAACGAAGATGAAATACCCAATAGTTACAGACATAATGGCAGATTATCTAGGACAGAGTGACACCCATGATGCACCATTCACCACAGGCCGCCTGCGCTCATTAATCTTCATGCCATCTGTCAAACAAAGACTCTCACTTCGAAGGCTCCGAGAATTGATGCACCTTCAGGCAGGCGTCACCAGCCCACAGGCTCATCCTTCATTAGCAGGTGGACAGCAACTCAAAATCACAGTACGCTACTGTGAAATAGGAGAAACAGGAACGACTGCCATGCAACATCTCTATCTGCTCAAACACAGTTTGCTGTCACGAAATTGTGCAATTGATTGCAGCACCTGCAGATTGTAGCAGAAGAAAGTATGTGGAGCCAGTGAGGAAGGCTTTGAGAAAAGCATCAGAGTGATGTCAGCAGTGGAGGACATCCAGTCTCAGTAGGCAGGGGAGGACATCCAGTCTTACTCCAAAAGAGTGAGCAATAACAAACTGGAAAAAATGTATTTTCAGCTTATCCAAAAAGAATGACTTGATTCAAAATGATTCCCGTTGTAGTCTGGTTTATTATTTTAACCTCTGCTCCTTTTGAAATTCAATCGTCCTAGGACACTTGCTCCTACATACATAAACATACATATACACATATGGGCCTATACTTTATGACCACTGGTCCAATACAGTGCAGGTGACATTTTTAATTTATTTATTGTGATTGCTAATGATCTACCTTTGATTGACTGCTAGATGGTGATATCGGTCACCTCTCTGGCTGCCAGAGCAGCCTGCTGTGGCTTGGACTCCAGCAGAACTCTGAGGGTGTGCTGGCACCAGGATGTTAGCAGCAGATCTTTTAAATCCCATAAGCTGTGAGGTGGGGCCTCCTTCAACCTGACATGTTTGTCAAGCACATCCCACAGGTGTTCAATTAGATTGAAATCTAAGGAATTCGGAGGACAAGCCAACACCTCAAACTTGTTGTTGAGTTCTTCAAAGCATTCATGAAACAATTTTCCTTTGAGGCAAAGTGAATTATACTGACATTGCCATCAGGAGCCACTGTTTCCTATAAGAAAATAAAATCCATCAGAGCAGCTCCCATTTTCGGCACTGATGGTGAGAGAGCTGAGCATGGGGACCCTGAGTGGCCTGTGGCC